TATATAAAAGCATGTCTTTAACAAACTTCAAAGATTTTAAAACAAACATTAATTCCATAACATTAGTGACTTTCATGTCACTTTATTTTAACAATGACTTAATATGCTTTGTTGTTAACAAATAAATTTAATCATTGGCATTCTCCCTTTTTAAACTTGTTCCATTCATCTCTGTAACTCCAAACTTTACACACACACACACACACACACACACACACACACACACACACACACACACACACACACACACACACACACACACACATGTGATCTTAAGATTTTGTGAAGATGAGTAAAATAAACTATAGCTTAATGATCCTTTAACAAAACGCAAAATCCTCTTTGTTGCTTTTAAATGTGAGCTTCTTAGTCTTTCTATATACCACTTAATCAAACCAACTCTTAATAAAATATATGGCCTGTCAAATGTTAAATATCACATACATCCCACAATAATCTTATAGTATGTTGGATTTACTAAAGCTCCTTCCTTTTCTTTAGTTAATTTGATTTTGTGCTCGGCTGGATTATCTATAAGTTGATAGTCTTCCATATCAAACTTCTTCAACACCTCTGCTGTATACTTGGTTTGTGAAATAAAAATTTCATTACTACACCACTTCATTTTTATTCCTAAAAAATAAGTCATGAGACCTAAGTTTGTTATTTCAAATTTATTTACCATGGATTGCTTGAAATCCTGAATTATAATGAAATTGTCACATGTAAAACTTAGATAATTAATGTAGTCTATAAAGAGATTTCTTCAATCTGTAGACCTTTTCTCTTCTTTTTTTAACCAAAAAGCTAGGTGGCTGGTCTACATATACTTCCTCTTCAAGGGTGTCATTTAGAAAGGTTGACTTAACATTTATCTAGTGTAACTTCTATTTTTTTTAGCTGTTAAAAAAATCATTAATCTTACTATTCCTAAACTTACAACTGGAGCAAAAAAAATATTTATAGTCAACTTTATATTATTGTTTACACCTATTTGTTAGTAATTTGGCTTTATATTTCTCAACTTTTCCTTTTGCATTCCTTTTAGTTTTAAAGATTCATTTTACTTTTATTGTATTGTGTCTTTCTAAAAGTGTTGTCAACTCCTATCTATTTTTCTTTTTGATAGAATTGATTTTCTCCTTCATTACCTTATTCCATTTAGATTCTTAGGAAGCTTAAATTCTTAGTAAGCTTATTTAAAGGTAACATGATCATTAGTTGAAAGTAAGCAAAACATACTAACATCATCAAAATTGATTCTTTTTGGTACATCATATATTTCTTATATTCCTTTTATGCTTTTTGAAGCTAGACTTTAAAGACTAGTAAGACTATCAACTTGAGTAGATGTAGATGGTGCAACTGGATTTCTTCTTCATCATTTTGAACTTGTTCTTCTTCTACTATTAGTCTCCATGGTTGATTTTCAATATTCCAATCCTATAGTTTTTTTTACTAAACTTCACATCTATTGACATAATAACCTTCTAAGTTATTAGATTATACAATTTGTAACCACATAAATTTTCTCCATATCCCAACAATAAATATTTTTGGCTTTTATCTTAAAGCTTGGCTCTTTTTTCTTCTTAGATTTTGGCATATGATCATTGCAAAAAATTCTCAAATGCTTAACTCTTGGTTTTTTCAGACTCCATATATTCCAATCCTATAGTTTTTTTTACTAAACTTCACATCTATTGACATAATAACCTTCTAAGTTATTAGATTATACAATTTGTAACCACATAAATTTTCTCCATATCCCAACAATAAATATTTTTGGCTTTTATCTTAAAGCTTGGCTCTTTTTTCTTCTTAGATTTTGGCATATGATCATTGCAAAAAATTCTCAAATGCTTAACTCTTGGTTTTTTCAGACTCCATACTTCTTCTGGTGTAATATTTTAAAGTCTCTTTATAGGAAACCTATTTAATAGATGCATAACGCACACTACTACATCTCCAAAAAAATTCTTTTAGACAATTTCTTTTTTGTTTTTCAACATACATGTAACCATATTTATAATGCTTCCATTCTACTTTTCAGACACCTCATTATGTTGTAGGGCAAAAGGCATAATAAGCTGATGTATAATGATATTTCTTTACAATAAACATCAAAATCATGTAAAATATACTTTATACCCTTAGCTATTCTTAAACACTTCATTTTGCAATCACTTTGATTTTCTTTAAGTTTTTGAACTCTTTCAATTAGCTTAACACGTTCTTGTTTTATTTTAATACATATATTCATGTCTTACCGCTAAAAACATCTCTGAAAATAAGTACATGTTATCATCAATTAAAGTAGGTTTGGTAGGACCATACATGTTTGAATACACTAGATCAAGAGGTTGAGATGCTCTTAAACTTTTTCTTAGAAATGCTTCATTTTTTTATTTTCCATTACATAAACTTCACATATTCTGTTTGTGTGATATATCTTTAGTATTTCAAGAACCATTTAGTTCTTCTCTAATAATATCAATGATATATAATTTAAATGACCATAACATAGATGCTGAAGATTTGACATATTGATTGTTTTTTACTTAAAATAGTTTGACTTATATATATATATATATAAAGGAAACATTTTATTCTTTATCATTTTTACATAAGCAATTACAACTCTAGATTCATAAAAAATTCTCAGATTCTTATCTTTCATTTGCACTACAAATCCTTTCTCCAAAAATTATCCTAAACTCAGAATATTGTTCTTCATATTTAAAACGTAAAACACTTTTGAAATGAACTTTTTCTTACCATTCTTAAGCTTAATAAGAATCCTGCCTCTTCCTTTAACAGATATTTGTGAAAGATCTCTAAAAGTAATATTGTCTGTATAATTCTCATCTAAATCAAAAAATACTTCCTTCATTCCATATATATAATTAGATCCTCCTATATCTAAATACCATGTGTTGGAGTTACTACTATCAAATTTTTCACAAGCCAACAACAAAGCAGTTTTTCAGAATCAAGTCCCTTCTCATCAAAGTAAATATTTTTATCTTCAAATTTATATTGTGAACAATCTTAAGCGAAATGATCATACTCCTTACAATTATAACATTGAACATTTGCATTATTGTTCCTTTATTTTGAATATCCACCACGACTTCTTTCTCTACTTCTATAACATCTTCTGGAGTTGAAACTTTGATTTCTTATTCCATAAGTTTATTAATTTCTGGATGATCTTCTTCCTCTTTCTATTTTGTAGAAGAATCTTTCTATTTGAAATGATCCTCTACTAAATCTAGCAACATTTTTTACAATTAAATTTTTATGTAATACTTTCTCAGGAGATCTTTCTATTTTTTATCAATTTTCTGTTTATGGGCTTGCAAAGATCCCATTTATTGTTAAATCTTCAAAATCCTTTACTTCGTCAATTGTTACTACCATATGAATCCAAATACCTCAAGATCTTCTCCATCAAATGAACATCATTAATATTTATACCATTCCTTCTCATTTGATGTACTAAAGAGATTACTTTTATGAAGTAATATGAAATTGTTTCATTATTTTTTTTATTTAGCTTCTTAAAATCTCCTTTCAATGTTTGCAATCATACCTTTTTACCCTTTCAACTTTAATATAACTCTTTTTAAGAATTATGTTTCTTTTGAAGTCTTTACAAGTGTCACTATCTCAAGAGTTGCTTCATGAAGCCCTGGATAATGATAAATAGAGCTTTATTATTCTTTTTTTTTTTAATTTTCTCAAAACTTGTTTTTTTGTATTGCTCGTTGTTTTGTATTCTCTTGTTGATTTTGGTTCATTATAATTATTTTTAACTAACTCCTATAATTTTTTTGATCTTGACGATACCTTATATTAAATACAACATAAATCATATTTTTTTTTTTGTTTTTGTAAGACAAGGAATATGAATTTGAGTACTATTATTACTAGAAATCATAGTTACTCTTAAGCTCTAGTGCCAAATCTGTTAGAAAATATCACTCAGACGTGGAGGAGGAATTGTATAACACTTATAAGAAGCTTTTGCTATACATACATACATGCATATATATATATATATATATATATATATGAAATTATCATAATAAGAAGTGTGAGATTACTAATCTTTAGTGTCTTTTATTCCACCAAAAAAAATGTATGTATATATAATTTTACAAACTTGAAAGATTTTAATTGAACTTTTGACTCAGTAAACTAACACTAATTCCATAACATTATTGACTTTCATGTCAGTTTATTAATACTGACTTTAATGTTCTTGGTTTTCAAGAAACAAGTTTAATCACCAACAGAAAGTGCCAAGGACTCAGCACTTTCTGGAGCTTGGATTCCATATGATCCCAAATTGCCCTTCCCTGTAAGAGAGCTTTTGAAATGATAAAATCTCAAGTTATTGCATTGAGAACTTTCGAAAGCTCTCAGTGAATTGTTAACTGTGTCATTTCATGCTATTCCTTGCACATGAGGAAACGAATCTGGAATTTTTAGTTTTGTTTTTACTAGCTAGCGTGCCATTACTGGACACTCAATGATTAGTGATAAGTGCTCTCTCTCATTGTGCTACTTTTTTCTATCAAATTCTCTGCGGATGGTGTTCAGACAAATTAGTCTCAAGAACAATGCTTGGACATGATTACGGGAAAATTATTGAACCGTTCCCATTACTGAAAGCATTGTTTGCACTGTGCGTCCATGACTCAAGCACTAACTGTGATAGAGTGTCTTGAGCTAGCTGGCTGATTTTAATTTATTCGTAAGAAAACAATGAAAAAGTGAATCCACATGGGATATTTGATCAGCAATTGCCATGATAGTGATTCAACCCTTTAGTGCTAGATAGGCTCGACCCTCTAGGTTGGCCCACCCTTGGAATGGTCATGTTTCCATTAGTTGGATGCTGTCGAAGTGTCATACATGAAACTTATTGTCTTGTTCGGCTTCAAAGGTGTATCCTCTGCCGTGAGAGAATTTGACTAAGTCTTGACCCCGTATATATGCAAAAGATTCTTGATGCTCGAACTCTATGCATAAACATATCAGTGGCTGTTGCTATTTGTACCGATTCCTCTTGTGTATTTGCCTACTTCTCTATTAGAAACTAAGAAACTACTAATGATCAATGAAATATTATGAACTTTTTGTTCATTTCATATACATATTTTTCTCTTGACCGCAGAGTCTAATAAGAATTTGTAGAAACTGAGCTTGACCTCTGCAAAGAGGATGAAGAATTTAGGAACTCAATGCAATCTTCAATAGCTTCAGCTCTTTGAGAGTCTCCTGCCTCAGCGAGTGATCTTGATCTTGGCAAACTTGATGAAGTAACCTTACGAGAAGATTTCCTTCCCATGGACACAAAACGTAGAACTCTTGCTACCTTAGCTCCGAGGCGCCTTAGTAGTCTTGCTGGTGAAAATTTTGAGGTTCTAGGAAGCCTAAAAGAGAAAATTCCAGCAATCTTCTTCCTGTTTCCACCTACCCTTGTTCCACTTCCATGTTTAAGAAAGATTGTTGGCTTATCATTTTCATCAGGACTGAAACTTAGTCGCTTGCTTTCTTTGCGTGACATTTTGGACTAGTAGCGGAGAGTTCCAATGAGAAAAAAACCCTTGCTTGTTTTGAGATAGAGAAAGAAACAGTGCATGGAGGGGGGGGGAGGGAGGGAGGGAGAGTTGTGAACAAGAAGGGGCAGTTGGTAAGTTTGCAGGGGGTATTTATTGATGAAAATTAATGTGACATAAAGAGAAGGGAAAGGAAGATACTGATCAAGATAAAGGTCAAATATTGGATTAAGGCTTCTCATCGAAAGGAGGAATAGACAGTTGTATTTGTGAAAATTTATACTTGTTATGAGGTGTAAGAAATGGTATTTGATATTTGTTTAATAAGTATTTTTTATTTATAAATATATTTAAAAAAATTATTTTTTATATCAATATATTAAAATAATCTGAAAATATATAAAAATATTTTTTTGAATTTTGGCAAATCCATTTGAGCTACACTTTCAAGCGTGTATAAAAATATTTTTTTGAATTTTGACAAATCCATTTGAGCTACACTTTCAAGCGCAAAATGAAAACTATATTTAGGTGTATTTTAAAAGTATATTAGTAAAAGATATTAAATTAATGTTATTTTTAGTTTTTTTCAATAATATTGATGAAATGATATTAAAAATAAAAAATATCTGAAATAAAATTACTTTATTATATTTTTAAATAAAAAATATTTTTTAAAAATAAATGATAAACCAGCCAGCCGTTTGGTTCAACTTCTCAAAATGATAAACATACTCTGTAACCAGCCAGCCGTTTGGTTCAACTTCTCACCACTTCGTAAGGGATACCTGTAGCCATGCATGAGACATGTACATGGCATGTTCACCGAATTCTACATATTGTACATACCCATCGACAATAGACTCCCCGACTTATGCCTTATGATTATATACTATTTAGGATGCTCATTTTCAAAATATGGAGAAAGTGGTAGCATCTGATCCATGTAAATCAAAATTGTGTGATTATCATTGATCCCTGTAACATGATCGGTTTGGTTTATATGATCTACTTGTGTGTGATTATTTCATTTGTATTTGCGTCACGATGCTCATTTTAGCATGCATGAACTTTTTATTTAATAGCCAGCACTAAGAATTCAATGCTTCGCTCTTATAGTCAAGGAAACCATTACAGCTACGTTACATAATTCAAGGTCTCCATGTGCTAGCCAGGCTAAATAATTCAAGAACCTGTTTTCTGAAGCAAGTATGAACAATAGGCTTGCTGTGCATCCACGAATTCAACACAATCAAGAAGAAAGAGGTTTGGTCAAAAGCATGAGGAGGTGGTGGAGCCTTCAACAGGGTAAGAGTGAGTGAAATGAGGTCAAAGAGTAGAGAAAACCAAGGATAGAAGAGGGGCAGGCTTTGATACTCTTCTCGTCAGCGTTGCTTTTTAGGCTTCCTATGGCCCTACCTACCCTTTGCTCTGCCTCTTGTTGGCCCTCATGATTCCAAAAGGATCAGGAATTCTTGTAATGATGTCCCCATTTTAAGAGGGAATCTATTTGAATGTGGAAGCGTGGGCATGGCTTGAACATCATGGAACCCATCTTCTCCTTTCAATCTGTCATTTTGACAGAAGAAAATTCCTGATGAACGAATCTGTTTGCTGGTGATTTTTTTTTTTATTATTATTTTTTTGACTGGGGAGCTGAAAGGTCCCATTGATATGTCCCATTTCTCTCAGTCTTGGACGAGCAATTTATCAACCGACCATCTTGAAGACAGAAGAGAAAACAGCAAAGGCGTGAAAGCAAATGGCTGAGGTATCGTACACATAGGGCTTTGGTTGGATTGAAAGTGTTGCTTATAGATTTTTGGACACCAAAATTTTGACCCTTATTTTAGGATGGCATAGAAGGAGAAATCCTGAATTCAAATTACAACCACCTTACTAATTCACAAATTACAACCACCTTACTAATTCACAAGAGTCCCAGCGGTGGGAGGGGCTTGTCCCTTTCCTTTACACCTGGGTTCGAGCCTTATTATATATGCATGTCACCCCCGCGGTGCCTTACCTGCTCATTGGGCTTGCAAGATGTTCAGTGAGCCGTGGGGATTAGTTGTGGTGCGCGTAAGCTGACCCGGACACCCCACATAAAAAAAAAAAAAAAGTATTTATGAACATATTCGGACTCCAAACCTTATCGTCTTATTAATGAGTAAGTTTATTTAACATTAAATTAAAAAAAAGTGAAGCCTACTCTAAAACTTTATGTAAAATTATTGTTCAACAAAAATATTAAACATAAAATATGATAGAAATTAATTTCAAATAATCACTAGCCCACATGTTTTGTGAAATGTAAAAGGCTCTATCTAATTGTTCTAACTCAATTTTAGATCTCCAAAAATAATTTTAAATACATTTTATTTTTAAAAAAATAAAAAAATTCAAAAATATTTTTAAGATACAAGGAGATAAGTGACCAAGCTCCAACATACCAAAATAATCAAACTAAAATATTTTGACATGATGGGATGAATAAAACCTTAATATAAAGAAAGTGGAGGTGAATAAAACCTTAATATAAAGAAAGTGGAGGTTGAAATCCAACTTGACCAAAACTAAAGACATAATTGAAAAAAAATTAAGTTTAAAAGTCAGAATTAATTAAGTTCAATGACTTAATTTAACTTCTAATAGTTTTTATGGATTCAATTAAGGATTCAATTGAAAAAAAAATCAAGTTTCAAGACCTAATTCAGATCAATTTACAAAAATTAAAGGAATAGGGACACAATTGAAACTTGAAAAAACTAAATTGGTGCAATTAGAAAACAGAAACCAAATGATAATTAGTAAATGGCAAGACATAGATAAAAAGTCTAAAGAGATTGCACAACGGATCCAAGAGCAATTAAAAGAAAGGGTGACCAAGTATGATGATTCCATGAATAAATATGTTATGAAGGAAAAAAAACTAGTTACTCTAAAAAAGATTTACAGGGGCACAACAAGTGCTAAAAAAGAATTGAATGCTTCTTTAAAAAAAAAGTATGATGTTAGAAAAAGGTTGACAGTTGAGAAAGAAAAGATCATATTGGTCAATCTTCAGCATTGAAGAAGAGAGAAGATTAAGAGCTCAATATATGACTCAAGTTGATGATTCAATCTGAGTTAAAAATTTGAGAGAATGAATTAAATAAACTAAGAGGGTGATATTTGGAGGCTAAAGAAAAGTTAACTAAACTAAAAAAAAAAAATCCAAGAATGTCAAGATTACATTAACAACTTTTAATGTCTAGATGAATATAAAGATAATTGAGCTTGATATTGAGTGCAAAGAACTTTAAAGGGTTAGAAACTAAATCCAATTAGAAAGGATAATTCAAATACTAGATAAAAATAACGAGTCGCTGGCTGCAAATAATAGTGCGCTGCTTTGAGATATCACTTTATTCCATTACAAAATAGAATAGAAGAACATGTTAATTGATATGGTGGCTTGAAAGACAAATGAACTACAAGTAAATGCCTCTCTAATTAGCAACGGTGCTAGAAAATACTAGAAATACTTGAATGATTTTTCAGTCTTTATTAGAAATATAACTAATAAAGGTATTGCTTTTAAGAACGAATAGAGATTTATAAGAATCTTATCCATCTACATGTAAAAAAAATTATCTTTATATGTAAAAATTATTTTATCTTTATTGAATAAAAAAGGATCAGACCCACATTTTTGTATTGTACTCTTCAATATGTACGTGGTTTAACCAAGATAGGGATTTGGGAAAAGATCTCTTCAAATTCATCAGACTATGGATTTTGCCTATATTCAATAAAGAAGTCATAAATTAGTTTTTTGAATAAGTTAATCCAAATTTGATGTACATATACATATATTCTCATTTGCATTCATACATGAGCATACATGCATACATGTTTTGGGATTTTAAATGTAATATGTGCATGTATAGGTTGAAGTATAGATCCCCTTAAAATTCAAACCCGTAGAATCTACAACACTATACTTTAATGAAAAAACATGAAATATAAGGAACATGCTCATTATAATGCTCATGTTCAAAGGGAGTTGGACTCTTTAAAAATCAATATAACTCGTAAATGATTAAAAGGATCTCTAGTGAAGGACCATGTAATTAGCCTATGACCTTTGCCCAAGCTCAAGCTAAAATCCAAATTGAAAAAGAGGTAGGTGGCCAATGTCAAGAACCCTATTGCAATATGGCATTCGTGTTGCCAACAATACCTGCACCAACTTCAATAAATATGGATGGATCTATTAATGAGTTTTACAAGATAAAATACTCAAAGGATTTCAAGTATGATAATAGTATCAGAGGCAATAGTGAAGGCCATTGAAGGTGTCGACTTATATGATCTTGTCCAAGCTACCAAGATATGCCATGTTCCAAATATGGTTGTACCAAAGAAATTTTATGTACTTGAATTCATAAAGAATACTAGAACTCAATGTCCTTCTACTTATTCGAAATCCTACTATAATAAAATGACAGAGGTTGTGTCTGATGAAAAGCTGTTAATACACTTCTTTCGTGATAACTTGAGTGAAGTTGTATTAAACTGGTATATGAGGCTAAACAACATGAAAATCCAAAGGTGGAAGGATTTTTTAGATGCTTTCATTAAGTAATACAAATATAACATGAACATTACTCGTGACAGGTCTAGTCTAACTCTTTTGGAAAATAGAGATATGAAGACTATATGTGAATATGCTCAACAATAGAGAAATTTGGCCACTCAAATACATCTCCTACTCTTGGATAAAAAAATATACACCATATTTGTCAATATCCTCAAAGTACCCTAATATGAGAATGTAATGAGTAGCTCAACTTAGTAGTTTAATGATATTGTATTAGTGGCGGCTAGGTGTATTGAATAAGGAATACAAAGTGGAAGAATCTTTGCACCCACTAAGAAGAAAGGTTTTAAAGGCAAAACGAAAAATATTGATAATATCAAAGATGGATATAAAGGGAAAAAAATCAAAATTATAACACTCAAGTTAAATATTTATTTTAAATACATGCCTATCATATAAATAAAAGAATTGATTGATAAATTTAAGAATTGAAATTGAAAGGACAAAGAAATGGTCAAACTTAGAAAAGAGATGCTGGTGTAGTTCAAACCAGAATACTGTTCAGTAATTGGATCATATCTGGAGCTATAGATCTCAAATTTAGGTCTACTTTATATGGATAGAAAG